TATATATATATATATATATATATATATATATATATATATATATATATATATATATATATATATATACTGTCTCCTACTAAGATAAACAGCTCTATTAAACCTTAAATCATATTATATAATACATATTCTATTATATACATCTATATACACACACACATATACATATATATATATATATATATATATATATATATAAGCCAACTGTCTCTAAGACAAACAAAATAATTAAACTGTCTTCAGCTGTCTTAGACAAATTTAATTTTTCTTATACTGTCGCTAGCCAGCCAACCCAGTAACGAATCACCCAATAGGGGGGCCCCCTCATCCTTCTGAGCCCGCTTGGGGGCCCCTCAAGCCCCATACAGCAGCTGGGGGGCCCCCGTAGCCGCTTGTGAGCCACTGGGGGCCCCTTGAGCTGATCGTGAGCGGCTGTGGGCCCCTCGTGCTGCTCTGGGGGCCCCTTAGCCGCGTATGGGGTACTGGGGGCCCCCTAGCTGCTCGTGTATCGTTGGGGGCCCGCTTAGCTACCCCTGAAGGTGGTTGGGGGCCCCCTATGTTACTCAGGAGCCGGTGGGGGTGGTAAGCTAACAGGGGCCCCCAAAGGTGTTTGGGCCCCCCCCCCCGCCCCCTGCATCGCTGCGTGTGTGAGTTTGTTTAGGTTAGCTAGTGGCTGGTGTCGCTTAGGTGAGAGAAGAGACGCTCAATAACAGGCGGCAGCAACTGAAAACAAACAGAGACGCGGGAGAGATGCTGCAGCGGCAGATGGAGACCATCAAACGCATACAGCACACAAGGCTTCGAACGCGGAGACACTGACACAGAACCAGAACCAGGGGGGCCCCCAGGGGGGCCCCCTTCGCAGCCCTGGGGGCCCCCGTCGGAGCCCTGGGGGCCCCCCTGGGAGGCCTCCACAGGGGCCTCCGGGGAGACCTCCTGGGGGCCCCCCTCGGGGCTCTGGGGGCCCCTGTCTCCTACTGGTATATGCGGAATCTGTAGCAGCAGATATAAGAGAAACAAACAAAACAGAAAAACATAAAACACTAAACCCTAAACCCTAAACCCTATTCTTCCTGTGCGACAAACCCTCCTTTCCTGGGGGACCTTTATAAACCCCAAGGAGACAGGAGAGAGGGGAGACGTGAGAGGAGATAGTGGAGACTGAATAGATAGAGAGGAGACAAAGGAGACAGAAGAGAGAGGAGACAGAAGAGACAGGAGAAAGGAAAAAGCAGAGAGGGGAGACAGACGAGACAGAAGAGACAGAAGAGACAGAAAAAAGAGGAGACAGGAGAAAGAGGAGACAGAAGAAAGAGGAGACAAAGGAAAGAGGAGACAAAGGAAAGAGGAGACAAAAGAGGAGACAAAAGAAAGAGGAGACAGAAGAAAAAGGAGACAGAAGAAAAAGGAGACAGAAGAAAAAGGAGACAGAAGAAAAAGGAGACAGAAGAAAGAGGAGACAGAAGAAAAAGGAGACAGCAGCACACCTGTGGATAGCGCTGGCTGAAGTGTGTTAACACCAAATTCTCGCAGCCGCACTCTTCAGCTGCAGGCGCAACACAAAACCCTAAACCCTAAACCCTAAACCCTAAACCCTAAACCCTAAACCCTAAACCACACCGAAACCCGGTGGTTAAAGGGACTGTCTCCTCCTCAGCTGAGGAGACAGCCGCTGCAGCAGCAAACCACAAACCCCGCAGCAGAC